GCATCCTCAAACAAATAAATCTATCCAATACACTTAAGGTTATACAGGCTCAAAATAAAATAGAAACAAAAGGAATGTTCTAGAACGCCCCACCCACCCCAGTCAAGGGTAAGGATCTGCTGACTGCCGTGTGGGAAGAAGGTCTGAGTGCCCCAGCACGTGGGCAGGCAGAGCCTAAGGTCAGTCAGACTTCCTGATTCAAATCCCCAGTCTGCCATTTTCTACCTGTGCAACCTCAGCAAGGTATCCATTTATCTGTGGCTCAGTTTCCATCTGTAAAAGGAGGCCATGAGAAAATATATTTCATAGGGTTACTATGAAGTTTAGTGAAATAATACACCAAATTCCTTAAAACAGCAACAGGCACACAGAAAGGTTTAATAAATGTCAGTGTTGTGCCGGGCAGCAACATTCACTTCTATCAAAACTCAGATTGACCACGAGCATGTGGCCCTTTTGTTTTTGTCTGTAACCTTTTTCTACTAATTAGGAGATTTTCTTGCATTTTTTCCCCAGTGTTTATGAATTTGAAAGAAGAAAGTGTGGGATAGTTGTTTAGTTTCACATTTGGGTGAATAATTATTGAGGTTAACTCTTTCTCATATATTTATCGCTTAGAATATTTTTAGAAGCCTTTTAGTAATGCCCAATGTTTGTCCTCTGAGAATGGAATTAATTTTGGGAAATAGTCAAAAGCCATTCAAAAGGACAACCTGACTACTGCAATGTCTAATCAGGTTTGAACTTAGTATAATATGATAATGTACATGGTCCCTTCAAAGAATGTTCACTCTCCAAAGGGAAATAAAGGGTAGTCTTTCAGGTGATCCGTCTCTGGCTCCTCTCCAAGAGGACATCTGAGTATTGATGGGAGAGATCTTCTCGGAGAGATGCGAGTGAAAAGTTAGAAAGAGACTGACTATTGAGCCATCAACCAAGTTTGGACTGCCTTCCTCCAGACTTCATTTATGGAGAGAAATAAGTTTCAATCTGGCTTAAAACACTATTTATTTCTTAGCTAACCCTAGTCCTAAGGGACCGTGTAATAGTCCATTACATGGCTAAACCATAGTTTATTTGATCATAGTTCTAATGTTCTCTAGGATAGTTTCCAATTTTTACTCTTAGGAATGAGTAAGATGATGAACTGTTATCCAAATTTCTCTTTATTTTCTAAGGTAGAAAATAAAATTCTTGATATAGATATAGCTCTATATTGCTTTCCTAAAGTTAGACTCTTTTGTCTTCTCAGAGGCAGCAGTGAATAGGTCATGTCAATCACATATTTAACCTGCCGTATGGACTATGGACTTTATAACATGCCCTCCTGTATTTGTCAGCTATTGTTTCTATAGTGCTGCATAACAAACACTCCAAAACACAATAGCTTCCAACAAGTTTTTATTCTGCCCATTACAAATGTGCAGACCAACTGTGGTTCAGTTGGTCCAGGCTAGATGGGGCTAGGAAACTCCACTCCAGCCTGCCAGACAGCTGGGTATGGCTGCAGACTGTGGTTGGGTCAAGCTCTTTCCACATGTATTTATTCTGGGGTCCAGGCTGAAGGGGCAGCAAGTGCCAGGAGCATGGTCTGCTCATGGTGGATTAATCACTGGGGCCCAAGAGGCAATCCAAAACTCCCAGGAGCATGAAAATGCTCTGCTGGGACCACATCCACTAACACTGGCTGAATCAATCACATGGCCAAAACCAACATCAACGGGGCAGCAAAATATTCTAAGCACACAGTGGGAGGGTGAGAAATTGAATATTTGCTGAAAGGTTTTTCTAAACGTTCACACCCCCTCATAAGATGAAATAAATGATCCAGGGCATGAGAGTGATACTATTTAGGGAAGTCTC